AAGGCCCCGGCGAGCGTGCCATGCCACGCAGGCTCCGGCCGGTCCTTGCCTGGAGCTGGAAAATTACCGTGTGAGAGCAGCAGACCCCAGGGGAGCTCTATGCTCCCGCCATGGCTGCGGCATGCAAGGCAGGGGTGTGCAAGACCCCCTCCCGTGCTGGTGCTGCCAGGATGGTGTTGTAGTGGGAGGGGGTCCTGAGCTCTTCATCTTTATACCTTCGGGGAAAGGAGTTCTTTTGCTTAGAGGAGATCTGATGCCCCTTCCTGCAGAAAGTCTCCCCCCAAGGGGGACTGGTGGCCAGATGGGCTCTGAAAGCTTCAGGACATGTGTGGTTTGTGAAGAGAATGGGGTCCTGAGCCCCCCACCCTGCTGACACTGTGGCAGGAGGAGATGCTCAGCCTCCCGCCCATCCCGTGCTGTGGGCGAGGAGGGACTCAAGGACACCCAGGCTGGTGGAGAGCTCAGGCTGCCCTGTTCCAGTTCCTGCTGCTCACTGGGATTTCATTGCGAGCTACGAAGTGGTGATGGGAAGGGATCTCTGCTCCCTGGCTGCCGCACCGGCATGCAGACACACACCTTTCCTTTGTGCTCCCCTGGGCTAGGGCCTCAGCATCAGAGCGAGCCGGTGGGAGAAGAGGCCCCCAAGCCCCCCACGGTCTCCAGTACCTGGCAGCTGCTGGCGCAGGTGCTGCACCCTGTGTCCCTCAGCACCATGCAGGGACCTGGTGAGTGGGTGAGGAGGGGCAGCACCTTTGCCTCCAGCTGGGGTTGATGCCCAGCTTTATGCCAGCTCCGAGCAGCGTGTGCGCAGGTACCTCTGGGCCGGGGAGGAGGCGGGCTGCGTGCGGTCTGGCTGCCCCACTCAGGTCCAGGGAGAGCATCAGGCCGGGCTGTACGTGCGGGTGCTGAGGCTTGAGTGGCTGTCGGCAGTGTAAGGGGATTCAGCATGATTTTAAATATAACGAGCCAAAAGAGCTGGGTTCTCATTTTTTCAGATTGAGATTCAGGGTTCTGGCTTGGGTGACTTTCCCAGAAAGACACTTAATTTTAAAATACTACTTAATGCTTATAAATCAGAGTATTCCCTAATAAGTGCTGGAGCCTAGAAGAGCTATAGCAAGAGAGCAAGAGGCATTCTGAAGAAAATGTTCCCACACCAAATACATGTGGAACTAACACCGTCCTGGGCTCCCAGAAGCGAGCATCCTCAGCTGGGTGTCTGGATGCCGCTTGTTCGTACAGCGAGCTGGTGGTTTGACAGAGCGTGGGGACCGAGATTTCATGAGTGACTGCAGATTCACAGGTCCCAAACTGAGACACTGTCTCCACTTTTCCAAGCATGGCGTGTCCAGGCTCCATGTGTCCACCTCTCCGAGGCTTCCATGGGCTTTCCAGGATGTCTGTCTGAGCAGGGTGGACGCGTCCAGCTGCCCTGAGATGAGTGCCCTGCGTGGGTACTGTCACCAACACGTGTTGTGAATTGGGTGCGCTTAGATGCAGTTGTTACAGGGTTATGTTTCACACTTGCGTGTTCTCCTCAAAAAGCTTCAGGCTCTTCCCAGATATCTTTGGCTTAAGAGTGAAAAAGAAAACTCCCAAAAGAGAGCAGTCGTAAGAGGAGGAAGAGTAGGTCAAAGGTGGACTGTAGATGGAAACCCTCTGTGTTACAGTATTTCTGCTGTGTGCCATAGTGAAGGTAATGGGGTAACATTTGACCTGACAAATTACTATTGCGTCAGTCCAAGATCCTGTGCGTGGTCAAGGTGTATCTGCTTGGCTTCCCAAATACCATACGGTCGGAAGAGACAGGACTTGGAGACCTGTTCAGTCTTTCACTGTGCTGTGGGTATTCTGCAACAGCCAGAGGAGCTGCTGGGGTCCTGCAATGCAGAGTGTGGTCTGGAGGCAGAACAGGTGTTTCCATGCACCGGTCTAGGGGATCCCCAAGGTATTGGGGTGCCAAGGCTATGCACAGCTTTGATTTTTGGCTTTTTGTAACGTGCTGGCTGGGGCCTGTCTCAATGTGTGTTTTGTTTGCAATGCAGGGTGAGGAAGGCCCTCCCAGTTTGGAGTATATCCAGGCCAAGGACTTGTTCCCCCCGAAAGAGCTTGTGAAGGAGGAAGAGTCATTGCAGGTAAGGAAGAAAGAAAACCAAAACAGCTTCGGGATGTGGCAGGCTCGTCTGGTAGCATGAAACCTGAGAGCAGCTCTCCAGCCCAGGACGTGTTCTGGAGGCTGCGGGCTGGCCAGTGCTGTAGGTCACATTCTGCGTGTGTGGAGGCTGCTGACGGCAGTTCTGTACACCCTGGCCCTGTCTTCCCAGCCCTGCCAAGACACTGCGATTTCTACAGCATCGCATCTGCTGCTTGGAAATACGGCTGGAGCATGATGCAATACAGAGCCATCCTGGGTATTCCCTGCCCTCCGCCTGCGCTGACAGTGAGAAACTGTGATGCTGCCTCTGCAGCAGGTAGATGCTCTCGGGTACAGGTCAAATATCCGGGCTGGGCTGTGTGCTGTGTAGCCATAGCCTGCAATTGAGATGGCTGATCTAGCCCTAATACACGTCGCTCCTGGCGTTTTCCTGGTGCAGAGCTGTTGGATGGAGAAATCTCCATATGGTGCCAGCCTCCTGCTGCAGAAGGCCTTTGAAAGAGACCTGGGTGCTGCTGCTGTGCAGCAAGGGCGGCATTCTGAACGGTGGGAGCCAAAGCTCCTGGTGTTGGTTGCCTCCTTTAATGTAGTCCACTGCCACCTTGTCCCTGTGTTCATCCTCCTCCTGTGGTGGAGCCAGGCTCATGTTGTGTGTTCTCACTGCTGCCGCAGTATTTGAGTTTGCTCTGTGATTGGCATTGTCTTGGGAAACAGCGCTGATAAAAGCAAGGACTGAAATGTGGCAACAGGAGGATGACTTGAAAGAACAAATGCGGGCCAAGGGGTTGCACGGGGTCATGGCTGCAGGTCTGTGGGAGGTGAAGCCACTGAGACCACCTGGAGAAGAGCAGAATCCGCTTTGTTCTTCTGCATGGAGGACCATAAATTTCACCCCTCCCAAAGGGTAATTTGTGTTCAGAAAATTGTTATTCTCCTAATGTAAAGTGAAGTCTAAAAGGATGCCATTGGCTTGTTATCAAGCCGTGTTCAGGCACCTGTCAGCTTATTCCAGGACTTCCCTCTGTCAGTTCTTGCAGTTTTACCATCCCATTTCTAATCCGTTTCCCTTCTGTTGCTGTGGGAAAGAGCCACGTAAGCAAAAGAAACACATGCCAACTGCAAACAGCTCTGGCAAGTGTGCATAAATAAACTGCAGAACTGAAGAGAGTATATTCTCTTAATGTCAAATAATGAACATTTTTAAAGAGTATTCAGACAGATGCCAGTCTGAGGTTGTTATTTTTGTACAAGTAACATAAGAAGGGAGAAGTTTTTAGTGCAATTGTCACTTGCACCTGAAGTCTGAAATCTAGGAAATTCAATTTTTAGGCAGCATATACCCAAGTCATAGAAACAACTTAAAAATAAAGACAAGGTGGTCTGACTTGTACTAATTACAGTGTAATGAATTGTTTTATCAGATACCCTGTCTGGCAAGTAAAGGGCTCTGGCTGAAATGATAAATCTTTGTGACATTTTCTGTGTAATTGGTTACCAACATCACCTGGTGTAGGTGGGAGCAACGAGGGGGCACGTGGCTAAGGAAAAAGGGCCTGGTGAATTTTAGGGGGTTTTGCCTTTTTTTTTTTTTTTTTTTTTTTTTATACAAGAAAAGAAAAGTCAGACTTGGCCATCTGCCAGGATCTCCTGTTTTAAAAATTACGTCCAGGCTGATAGGGAAAAACAGAAAGACACTTTATTATTTAGATTTTTTTTTTTTTTTTAATTCTAATACAGGTATCTTCATTTAAAGTTTCCTCAGTCACATAAATAACTATACATAAAAATTCCCTTAGAGCTTTGTTAGCAGAAATTGGGCAAAACTTTGATTCATTTACTCACCTGGGTTGGTACCAGTCCATCTCGCAGTGCTGCGATGAGCCCCCTTCATGTAAATGATGCAGCAGGATCAGGCATGGGACACTCTGCCTTGGGGCAGAGGGCTCTGATCGGGTCCGGCTCTGCCTGGAGCTGTGCAGAGCACTCCCAGCTCTGACCTGCGCCTGACGTTGTGTCTTGTATCATGTCACTTGCACCAGGGCTGTGTTCATCCTCTCCGAAAAGCAGGGACCATAAATCCCTCTGCCCCCATGCAACACCCTTGCTGCCAGATGCCCACAGTTGGTTACATAGCATTTGTGGTCACACCTCTCCTCCACAAGTAATTCTCCATCAGGAGGTGCTCGGTGGCTCCTGAGGCATCTTTGGAAGAAGATCCACCTCATGGGCAGTGGGTACCATTGCTGTTTCCTGCTGTTGTCTGCTCTCGGTGCACGAAGAGCATGTTGCTGTGAATGATTTCCCGCAGGAGTTGCACTGCAGAGGCAGTAGGAATTGAAGCTCTTGGCATTTGTGGTGCTCAAAGTATTCTGCGTGTGTCTTGAATTAGTGATGTCTCCCTTCCAGGTCCCATTCACTGTGTTGCAGGGCGAGGGAGTGGAGTATCTTGGCCATGCAAATGATGCTGTGATTGCCATCTCCAACTACCGGCTTCATATCAAATTCAAGGACTCTGTGATCAATGTAAGTCTGGATCTGCCAGTTCCTGCTGCCTGAACCACAGTCTCTTGCAATATTTGGGGGGGGCGGGAGGGGCATAAGCCATTGCTGTGGTCCGTGGCATGGGAGCTGTGCCTCTTGAAGGATGCCAAGCCTGATGGCTGGCATCTCTAGTTACTGCTGGTCATGCAGTTGTTTTACTGCTGCATTTTGGTGTGTGGATGGGGTTTTCCTTTGGATAATAACTAGGTCTTTCCTTTACTGTTCTCTTTAAATTCAAGCATTAAACTTGGTGGGCTTAAGACTGTTAAGGTCTCTTGCAGGCCAGCTTTAATGAGACTTCTCCTACCTGGAGACCAGCAACTGAGAGTCAGACAGTGGGAGCCCTTGGCTTTCTCTTACTGCCCTGACTTGCTCTCTTTTATTGCAGCTTTTGTTTGGCTTAGTTACCCGTGCTTGTCTGGATGCGATTTAGTCAGCAACCAGTCCCAGATGGGAGACTACCCAGGGATGAAGTAGAAATCAGAATAGTAATTGTTGAAGGAGGCTCTACACTGGGTCATGAGGCTTCACAAACCTCAGAGTGGGTTTGCAGCTTGAACTAGAAGCTGGTGATTGTTGACAGAGCCGTGACTGCGTGTGATGATGTCTGCTGTGTTATGCGGTATGTCTTGTCATGCCCTATATCTGTCCCTTGCAGGTGCCTTTGAGGATGATGGAAAGTGTGGAGTGTCGGGATATGTTCCAGCTTCACATCGTCTGTAAGGACTCCAAAGTGATCAGGTATCCGTTTATCGCTGTATTGTAGACGCCACTGCAGGCCAGTTGCCATGTTCAGCGCTGGCGTCTCCCTCTGTGCTGCCGTTGGAATTGAGCTGCTCATGGCCAAGGTTGCTACAACTTGGTACTTTGTTCCTTTTTCTGGTTAAGCGGAGCAGAGCTCCCTGTCTCTGCATCTTGGCTGGATGAACGTACCCACTGAGGGTGACTTGCCTTTGGGTTTGCAGGTGCCATTTTTCCACCTTTAAGCAGTGCCAGGAGTGGCTAAAAAGGCTAACTCGAGCCATCGCCCGCCCTGCTAAGCCAGAGGACCTCTTTGCATTTGCCTACCACGCGTGGTGCTTAGGAGTCTGTGTCGATGAGGAGGATCAACATGCGCATCTCTGCCGTCCAGGTGAGCTCCTGGCATGTCCCCTTCCTGCTCATCTGTCCAGAAGCACTGCAGTGCAATTCGAACTGTTGTTCATAAACTGATGTCCGGCCCTGTCTTAAGTTGTGCTTTAGCCTCAGCCCAAGTTCATCTTGCTGAGGGGCATCCTGTACCTGGCCTAGAGATCCAGCCGATGGCCAGATGCAGCTGGATAACAAGTGCAGTAAAAGGAATAATAAGAAGAATAGTAATAAGCACAATAAGGAACATTCTGAGCCAGTGACACAAAGTAGCTTTTCCCTTTCTCCTTGTGAATGAAGAAAACACCCCATACTTCAGTAGTTTCATTGTGATGATAGAGAGCTCAAGCAGTGTCATCCCTGGATGGTAAACATCATCAGCTTTGAGGCAGTGTAATTAATATGAATCCATCTGCATCTCTTCTCCAACACCTAGAAATGCCATGACATTCCTGTGGTCAGGTCTGCGGAGATGTCTGGTTTACACAGGCACAAATAAAATCTTTGAATCAATAAAGAGAAAACCAGAGCTCTGATGGTGCCCTCGTGTGGATTGGGAGTTTCCTGTCTCTGGGAACACGAAGTTCACTTGCAGTTGCTTTGCCTTTAAACAGCTTCAGCATGAAAAAAGGGGATTAAAATGAGTCACAAACCTGGCTTTAGACTTAATGTGCTGGTATCAGAGGAGAGAAACAGTAGCGTGAATGAAATATCCACACACAGGTTGGGATGTGGAGGGATGCGGTTGAATAGTATAGCTGAAAGAGATACCAAAAAGCAGCTGATAATGAAAAGGTAAACTATTTGTTCTGACCCTGTCCCAAACACCAGCAATTAGAGATATTTGCTGTCTCTCCTTTAGAGAAAGTATTATTCTCTAGTATAAATAAACTCACCTGTGGAAATTGTTGCTGCAGGATACAAATGGAGTGAAGAGCTTTGCAGTATTTATTTTTGGCTCAAGTGTCAAATGTTGTTAATAAAGACATCCAGGATTTGTAAGGCAAGGCTAAAACATGAGAGCGCAAACCCTGAGTCAGCCTCTGAGAGGGCAGTCTGGAAGAAGGAACTGCCTGGGGTGGGTGCTCAGTACCCCTCTGCCATGGGCTACCTGACGTCCGTTTTGGAAGCCATCTCTGTCAGAAGGGCAAAAATGGGTTGAATTAACGGCCCCCACCCCACGTTGATGTGGGAAGGCTGTTTCCATGCCACTCTGTGCCCTGAGACTTGAGGGGTGATCTGACTTGACAAAATAAGCAGAGGAACCCCCATGAGGGACAAATCTTTTTGGTTCTGAAGCAAGATCCCTGCCATCCAGCTGTCGTTTCTCTCCAGCCTGTGATAGTTGCTATGGAGCTGCTTCTAACGTGTTTGGACTTCATCAGTGCTGCTCTGCTGTCAGTAAATACCCTGTGCTCTGCTCTTCCAGGTGACCATGTGAGATACCGATTTGAGATGGAGCTGGTGAGGATGGGCTTTGACTTGCAGAACGTCTGGCGAGTCTCTGACATCAACAACAATTACAAGTGAGTGTTTCACCACCAGGCTCTCCCCACTCCTCTTTCCTACCTTCTTCCCTTTGCAATCCCCGTGCAGAGCAGTGCATGAGTCAGGCTCCAGCTTGATAGCCCTCAGGCAGATCTGTGTATGAGCCAGGTCCCCTTTCTTTCCATCTTTCACATCGTGGAATTGAAGAAGGAATACAGCCCAAACGTCAGAGCTAGCAGCAATTGTAAATGCCGACTCAGGTTGCTTATAATGTGGTGGCCGTAATTCATCCTTGAAGCCATTCTGGAGTCTTGGAGGAACTGTCCATCCTAGGGCTGCCTTTCTGGTTGGTCATTCTCTCTAAGATTTCTTGTGCTGTTTGAAATGAAAACCACAAAGTTTTCATGAAATTGCGCAGCTATTCGGCTCTGTGAAACTGGGGGCGAGCCAGTGGAGGGCTGTCAGGCTTCTCAGAAGTCTGGGGGATGAGCCAGGCTTGTTCGGTCTGGTGCCGAAGAGGCTAAAGGGTGCTCTGCTTGCAGCCTACAGCTGCTGGAATGGCAGGTACAAAGCTGATGGAGTGAAACTCTTCGAACACCAGCAGATGACTGAACAAGAGGCAACGGCCACAAGGTGCAACTTGGGGGGTTCAGACTGGACATGGGAGGAAAAAAAAATTATTCCCCAGGAGTGTGGTGTCATGCTGGGGCAGATCCCCAAAGACTTGGGGGTTCTCCATCATTAGAGCTTTCAAGTCTCAGATATCTAGTGTCGGAGGTGGTTGGAGATCTCTAGAAGGTCTTTCCCACCTGCACGTCAGTGATTCCAGCCTGTCTTCTGCTCCTGAAGAAGAGCACAGGAGCTTTTGGAGAAGTGCTGCATGCATTCTTTGCAGCAGGTGGTATTAAGCCAACAGGAATTTATTTAAGCTTTGACAGACACATTCATTTCTGCATTCCCTATAATCCTGTTCTTGAAATGGCCAGTATCCCTCAGTCTTTTCTCTGTCTCACCCAGTAAAGGCATCCCCATCACCTATACATCGAACAGCTCCAGGTCACCGGTTTCTTGTGGAGACCACGAGGAGCCTCGGGCACACCGGCCGGGGGAAATCCCAGTGGAGTTTTGCAGTTTGCTGCCTGTTCTCTCCCTTAGAATTCCAGGCAGCAAGTGCTAGTTTTGGGGTTTGATTTACAGTTTCTACTTGGCCATACTGACCACACCATTGCTTTTGGACTGTTAACATGATTTTGATGGCATTTATGCAGTTTGTCCAAGGATGTTAAAAGAAAATTGTTTTCCTGAATTGCTTGGTTTTGGAGTGCGCAACCTGTAGGTCTCTGCCCTAGGTCGAGTCTCTGCATGTCTTTGAGAGCAGTCAGGCTTTCTCCACTGCTGGATGTTGGGATGTGGTTCGCTCTGACTATTTCAGAAAGTTCAACTTAGATTGACCATCTGTGGTTCGCTTCCTGGCCAGTAATACACAGCAATTAGCCAACTTCTCTAAAGGCAGATGTTTTATTTCCAACCAGACCAGGGAAGAAAGAACTTGAAACAAACCTCAGCGAGCTGGATGCGGGCCTGGTTTTGCTTTCCTCCATCTGCTGAGTTCCTGCCTGGGGATCCTGGCAGGTCACAGCTTCCTGCAGACATCCCGAGATCTCAAAGGTGGTGTAATTTGCTTGTGCAACTCAGAAACCAGTTCCCTCTTGCTGCTTTGGGGAGTGTATCTTTAAATCCTGCCTTGGCTTTTGATCATTGCCACCTGCCTCTATTCACAGGAATCGGGTTACTTTTTAACTGTTTATAGTCCTTTTATCTTTTATTTCCCAACATTGGCAAAACAGTGTTGTTAGAGACAGGATACTCCAAGGTAATGGCTTTGTTCATTGTCTTTCAAGTCTGTTTGGAGATGTCCTTATCTGGAAACTATTGCCTTCTTCCTGGCGACAGCCCTCATAAAATTAGAGCAATACAAGCATATAATAACCACTCCTTTGGTCTTGATAAAAGTATACTATTTCAGCATACAACGATAATAAAATTATTACACGATCTCTGCACGGCTCTCGCATCTTCGGTGATCTGTATACCCAGAGAAATGGCGGCGTTCCGGCATTCCCCACCTGGTGCGCCCGTGCTGCCCGAGACAGGGCTTGTTTCCTAGCGGCCTGAGTGCTGGTGGGTTTGGTGCACACATAGCTCCTTCAAAAATGGGAGGGGGAAAAAAAAAGAATTCATCTTTCCTTCAGTGTTGATGCTTGTTTCCAGGTTTGATCTTTTTACAGTTGTGGTTTTATTTATTTTTGACTTTATGAAGAAAAAGCTGTTTGGAGTTCTGTGTTACTGATTTAGACAGCTGACATTTCCTACTGTGAGTGCTCTTAATTCATATTTTGTTTTATTTTGTTAAAATTCTCCACAAATTTTAATACTATCCTTCGCTCTTATTGGAAAAAGTGATAGTGTTCTTGCTTGTATTTGCCATAGACTATAAGTCTACCAAGACCGTTAGCGACAAACCCAGTGTTTTCGCATCCTGCGAGAGAGGATCTCTCTCTCTGGACTGGCTGTTACCTTTGAGTTGGGAAGACACTTCGTCGGTCCTTGTCCGTAGGTGCGGCCTGTGCCGATTTAGGTTTGTGTCGTTACAGCCACCTTCTTCTGGAATGGAACCTCACAGTTTCAAAATGCCTCATCCCATGTTCCGGGTCAGCGTGGTCCCGGGGGTGTTTCAGGCCACCCCTCCATGACCCACATTGCTTCGCCGTTTATCTCTTTTCCCTGTGGCACGTGAGGATGTTGCACAACACAAGGACAAGTGTGGTTTCCCTTTAGGATTCCCTTGGTTGTGAAAAATGACCACTGAAATTCTGTGCTATTTCTTATCCTTTCAAGCGTTACTGTTTCAGAAGAGGAGTTTCCTTCAAGTTTTTGGTGAGCGACCTGTAAAAAAAAACAGAACCAAACAACAAACCAAACAATTTGAAAAAACCCTTTCTGAAAAGCCACATGCAGTCAGCCACACAAGCTGTATCTGCTCATGATGTTTCCAGCAAACTCTACGCATGCGAGGTGCGACCTCCCTCCACAAAAGCCGTGTTGACTCTTCCCAAGTGCCCTGTATTTACCCTCGCACCAACTGTGACAGTCAGTTGCTTTGTGCAGAAGTCGGACTCCGGTGGTTTCCCACGTTCGCCCCAGAGACCTTTTTACAAAATTGATACCGTGTTTGCCACTTTTCATTCCTTTGACACCCAAGCCAAGGTAAGCAATAGCTTACACATCTCGGTTAATCATTCACCTGGTGCGCATTTGGGTTGCTGGAGAAATGTTGAGCATTATCTAGTCCTGGTGATCAGTTACTCCACGTTCCTAGCAGATTGTTCTAAAACTTCCCCTGCAGAAGTTTCCACGTTTAATCCTTCTTATGCACCGTCCCTTGTAAAACAGGGTTAGGTCTGGCAACTTCTTTGTGGGCTCTGCTGCTGAACACCAGCGCAAATAGTTTTGATTTTCTGCTGTGATCTTGCCGATCTGTTAGACCTTCAGTTTCGGTAGCAGGCTGACACCTCCAAGGTGTTTGAAAAAGGTGTTCAGGATTTTAATCTTTTAAAAGGTCGTTTCTCAAAATCTGCACTACGTGTCTCATTTTTACTGTTTTTGAATTCAGGTGCATATTTGGCTTCTCTCATGTCCTTTGGAAACATTTCCCCTCTTTGAAGGATGTCCTTTTATTTCTAAAATCCTTCTTTTGTTCACTGTTTAACTCTGCCAGCTCTTTCTGATCTTTTTGATGCATTTTATATGACCATTGAACAGCATGTTTAAGTAACTGTCACATCATCTGCAAGCTGCTCTTCCCACCCTCGCCCCCCCGAAACTCATTGTTACTGTCGTGGGAGGCTTATCCCCGCTAAAAACGTTGTTGAAATCTCCTGTGTGATGACTACAGTAACAGAGTGATTTTTCAGTTATTCTATTTTGGAGCAGCTTAGGACCAAAGAAGAGTTACGTACTCTGGTATTGTTTGGCCAGTAGCACCAAGAAGCAGCTGATGGCGTCTGAAAATGTCACCTTTGTCTCACACGTTACCGTGATGCTCATGCATTTTACGTGAAAGCAGTACAAGTCTGTGATGGCAATTTCTGCTGTGGCAATGTCTGCCCCGGCAGCCTTTCTGAGTCTCTTCCAGCCTCTCGTGGATGCTGTTGCTGTCGCTCCAGCAGTAGGTAGTGTAGCCTCACTGCTCTGCTTTTTCTCTTTAGGCTTGGGATTTGAGTTCGTGCACATTCTCCATTGCTTGTGGGTGCTGGTAACTCTTAGTCTCACACTTTTGCCTTCACATTTCCCTGGAACACAGCGCACTTTGTTCACTAGCTCAACCTATTTTGGTTTTCCTACTAAGTTTGTACTCTGAAATTTAGGATGCCACTAATAATCGTCCTTGTATCCAGTTTATAAGATGCTGTTAAGCCAACATACTTATTTATCCTGGCTTTTCAGTTCCTCTATTTTTTTGAATTCTAGCCTGGAAGCACAGGTCTGTGTGTCTTGACCTCATTGCCTGTTTTTACGCGCCCTGCTTAAATTTGGCTTAACTTCTTGAGGCTGTCCTGTTTCCTACCTGAGTTTTATTGAATTCTATTTTATCATTTTCCAAAGACTACAGAGTTTTAGTTTATCTATTCTTAGATAGATAGATAGGCTCCTGAACCTCCTCTGTACTGACTCCCCAATTTTTACTTTAAGACATCTCCCGTAATGTTTCATCTGAAGTGTCAGGGAATGGATTCTGTTTTCGTTTTGATGAAGCCCATCCTTGTATAGACTCAGCTATTCCAAAAGTTCCTCCAGATCTCCACAGTGCTAACCCTCTTCCACATACCTTTTATTCTCAGTCACACTTCAATGCGTCTCTAATTTTCTGACCAAATTTTATACACAGAATCTGAGGCATTTCAGAGATGTCCAAGCCCAGACTTCCTACCACAGACATCCTGGTCTTCAGCTTCTTACTTGACAGCTTTAGTTTTGCTTCCTGGATTCCTCTTCTTCACCCTGTTGTTTTTATTCCATGGACCAACTTTGCTTTCTGCCTGGGGCTTTCTGAGAGGCTGTCTAGACACCGTGTGAAGTGCCATCTCCTAACGTGGCAGGCAGTTCCTCACTAGCATTACAAACTAAGTACTACTAAGTGCTGTATCGTGCCTGTCGCCACCAGCGGGGATAGCCTGGGCTGGGGCAATACCAGGCCACCTGTTGGAGTTTCACCCCCTGGGTTTGCTTCCCATCTGCCCTGAAACATTCCTTCTGACTGGTGTGGGTTATAGCCTAGAGCTAGAGCTGCTCTTTGATGTTCCTTGCCATATGCAGCTTTGCCTGCCTGAGCTCAGCTGGCCCAGCATCCAGGCAGTGCTTTGTCTCTGAAGCCTGTGACCTGCCCTGCACACAGCCGTGTGTGCAAGCAGCAGGGGCAGGGAAGTAGCTGCGCCCCTGCGCTCCTGGATTTTTTGCCTGTGCTTTGTTTTGCTCCTATTGCTCTCTGCCCTTCTCCCCAGCACGCTGTTTGACTTTCCCACTCCTTCCCTTGGCTTCCCTCTTGCCCTGCTGTTAATCTACTTGCAGTTGGGTTTTTAACACTTGGGACTTAAGCATTCACAATCTTGTCGCCTCTTCCCATCTCCCCCACTCCCCACCAACTGAATTTCCCTTTCAGCCAAACTGCTTTACACTTCGGTTCGTTCAGATGTGGGGCTCTTCTGGTACTGCAGCTCTGCTCCTTGAAGAGTTGGGTCCCCCCTGCTTTTGGCTGTGCTCGCTGAGTTTCCCTGGGGGGCCGCATTGGTAGGGACTTGCCCATCACATTCCTCTCGCTGCTGGCATGTGTTCAGATGCGTATCAAGAATCTGACTTCTGGCACCCCACCAAACAAGTTATTCTTTCAGATCTCACTCATGTCATTTTATTATAGCACACACGGAATCACCATTGCCATCTTTCTGCGCAGAGTTATGTCTTCCTTGCAGAGAAATGTGTTGAAACTGTGCTGAGACAGATATGAAGAGGAAGAGCTTGCTGAGTCTGGGGAAATGTGAGCTGCTCCTGCCTTCTCTCTCCGCAGCTTCTCTGGTACAGATTACTGATTGTCAATTCCTCACCTTGCCTTCGTGCTTTTTCTTTTTCAGGCTTTGTTCCAGTTATCCCCAGAAGCTGCTGGTCCCTGTCTGGATCACCGATAAGGAACTAGAGAACGTGGCTTCGTTTAGATCGTGGAAGAGGATCCCTGTGGTGGTGTACAGGTAAACACAAAACCAAAGCAGTGCTCTCCCCCAGACCCACAGTAGCCACCCTTCCCCTCGTAGTCTCACGCAGGGTGCTGTGAAGCCAGGTTAGCAGAGTGGGCGTGTGGGGCTGCAGAGCAAAGCGTGATGGTGATGGCTGCACCCTGGTCCTTAAGCTGCCTATTCCTTTTGCCTCCCACCTGGAGGGGTGCTGTTCTCCGGACTCCTCCTCCTCCTCCTCCCACCACATGTCAGCCTCTCTGAGCACTCGGTCTGCAATGGTAACGCAGGGTGTTCTCCGGAAGGGAGAAACAACATTCCAGTAACTGTTGCTTCTTCCCTGCTTTCAGTTAGATCTGAAGATGCGGGTGACTTTCCTCCTATGGGAGATGCAGCAAGAACACTGTGTCGAATTAAGGTTCTTTCTTTGAGTTTCAAAACTTTCACGCATTGATACTTGCCTAGCTGCTACTTTGAAAAGAAGTCTTGGCCAAAACAGGCCTGCAGTACAGCCCTGCTCTCAAACTAGGTACGCAGGCCTGGATGTACCTCTTAATATCCAAGTGCAAATCACTTGTGTTTTGACTGAGTTCTGAGAGTCTGACAACATTTAGGTGACAGAACAAAATGTTTGCATGTGGCTGAACTTTGACTCAATAGCTGAGTACCTACTCCCTGGTCAGCCTTCCAAAAATAATCTCTACAGGGGGATGCAGGAGGCTAGGCGGCAAATAAAGCAGGGCTTTTCAGGGTAGAGCAGCAGTTTCTCATCAAAAATGTCTGCTAGGAGGCTGTTGTGTTTGAAACTAGCAGGAGACTGGTTGAATAGGTGCGCCCATTCAGTGTGCGTATTTTAACGTACATCATGGTTTCTAGCCTTAGACTCTGTTACCAATTACTAAATCCAAATATAAAAAGCTTTGAAAATATCAGAGCTGCACAACAAAGGACAACCCTGGGAAGTACAAAAGCCAGGAAACAAAACCTGTGACTTTACACGTCCCTTAATTCTACACCTTCATGTTACATAGTTTGCTATTAGATGGTGGCAAAGCACAGCGTGTTAGTTCTTCTGGAAGAACTAAATTCTACAGCAGAGTAATAATGAGCGCTACTTATCGCATGGAGCCTTTCCCTCTTTGTAGCCAAGTCAGCTAAGAAGTTAATTGTATTTGTGATTACTTTTGCTAAAAATGGCCTGGCACTGGAGACTGTCCCAGTGTGCCTCCCCACCCGAGGGCAAAGCCATGTCTTTTTGTTACTCTTAACAATTATTTTGTTCCTCGCTTTACTGTAATGGTACCCAGTAATTTACAGGCTGAGCTGCAGCCTGGGATCAGATTAGAAGATGCTGACAAGTGATGTTACAAGATGGAACAAGTGCTTGCCCATATGTGTATCTCATTTTCACGCACTTGTTAGCATTCGCCCTCCAGATTGAAGTCTTCTGGCCAGGAGAGTCTGTGAGGGCCATGGCTGCTTCTGGAGTGCCTGGTGCTGTATGGAAGGGAGAGGGAAGAAAGGAAAAGCCTCATGCTCAGCTCCTCCTTATCATTCAGGAGAGAGTGGACAAGTGGGCTCAGGTGCCTGCACCCTAAGGACTTGGTAACCACAGGACTGTTTGGTAGACTTCAGAGCTTTTGGAGAACAACGGTGAATTCATTAGGTCAGTCAGATCTGTAAAACATGATGCCAAAGGTGACACATTATCTTGCAAATATTTTCTTACAAAAAGTATAATTTAGCTGTTAAGCAAAACAGAAATTCAGGTCTCCATCTCTGAGTCCTCAGTGGAGATGCACAGTAGAGATGCAGGAGCCTCCAAGCACAATTCACTTCTAAAAAGCATGAAGGATGCAATTAATTATTTAGCTGACTACAGAGGCAGACGGGCATTGTATGCCACCCGCTCCTCGTTATTACTCTCTGTCTATGCATCCACCTTCTGAAGACCTTGGGACTGTGTTAGCAAGAGAGCTCCTCGCAGACGCTCAGCATCGCCTTTGCCGCGTTTGTGCCACAGTGGCTGTTGGGGAAGCAGCAGGCAAACGGTGGATGTTGCTCCAGCCCCATGGCTGAGCATTCGGTCGCAGGCTTTCACATCGTGCCAGAGCGAGCCAGGAGTTTAATCCAGAGACTTGGGAAATGAAAGCACTTGCATTCGTGCATCTCGGTTGGGAACCTTTAGGCGACAGTGCTGTAAACCCTCTCTCGGCTTTCTTCTGTTTTAAGCCAAGCTGCTTGACTTTGCATTGTGGATGAGTGCTCTTATGGCCAGAAAATAACAGAGGAGACTTGAGAAATACTAGTTGATGCCTTCTGGATGATTGTTATGGGTTAAATGGCACATACTAACAGTATCAGATGTGTTCTAGCCTTGTGCTGTGAATGAATCTGGGAGAAAAAGCTTAGCTGATAAACTGCAAAGGCACCTCATACTCCAGCTTTGGATTCTGAAAGAGTCTCAGGTCATTAAAACTAAACAGAGGATCCCTAAAGAATAACTTTGTCCACATAAGTTAAAACACTATGGTGCCTTCTGCCATTCCAGTTTCAAGAAAGGAGTTTTTTCTTTGAGGAAAACCTCCACAAAAATCCCCAGTAAGAAAAGACCTGAAATGCTTTGTACGCTGGTGCTGGGGAGATTTGCGGAACGCAGAGTCACGCAGTGCGTGCTCCCCTGACCTGGGAAGCTCATTGCAAGCTCAGCTGTGGTTTTGGTCCATCCGCTGGCACCTGCTGTGCTTTCTGCTTGCTGATGGCTTCGTGCTCATCGATGCTGGCCGTACTTCCTTCAGTTTATTGGCATGGCACTGTGTTTCTTGAACTGGCTACCTCAAGGCCAACCTCTGCCCAGCATTGGTTGCAGTGCTGAGAAGTTTGTGCTAGCAAGAAGTTTTCTGAATCTAAGATGACTCTTTGGCAATGTCTGTAGTATTGCATTAAGCAGGCTACCTCTGACTTCAGATGGCCTACAGAGCTAAACTTGTTCTACCCCCTGCACCCCAAAACACTGCCATCACATCACATGGCCTGGTGGGAGCAGCCCCTGGCACAGCACCTGCATTTCCCAAAAACACGCTCAGGCGCTGGCTGGGAAAGTGCTGGTTGGCACAGGCCAAAACCTGTGGGTGTGCTAACAAACAAGCTTGGATGATCACAGGCTGGTGCTTAAGTCCACACCTTGGCTCTGTTTCATTTACTAGTATAAACAAAGCCTTTGCTGCTGTTGGTATTAACCATCCTTGAGTGATCCTGAAGACAGGAATAGATCTCTTGGGAGCGACTGCTCTATAGGTCACCTTGCGAACCAAAACAGCAGCAGAGAGCACCAAAAGAAAAAGGACCCTACAGTATTTTGACTTTGCTGAACAGGAATATTATTTCTTTGGAAGTCTTCAGTTTAAAGGCTTCATCACTATTATCTACAAGATGTCATTAATGATAATATATCTTCTGCATTTATTGATAAGTTGCCTCAGGAGAATAAGGGGACTTTGAGTAGCAAAACCATTCCTGCAAACTGCAGTAGCTGCCGGTGAGATACCGTGCACTGCTGTTAGAGGGAGTTCAGAGCCTCGATGCATTTTCTTGGTGTTCTGCCTTACAGCAGATAACATAAACAGGCGCTGTCATCCTCTGTGGAACAGCAGAGCCGCTTATGGGGTGGCCGCATGAGAAAGCGATACCTTCCGGAGTGCTTCTAATAGCCCTTACGGTAGCTGAGCAGCCCTTGAGCAATGGCTTGAGGCTGGTGCTGGCGTGCGGCAGCATCCAGAGCGTTACGTCCCCTATTCTGCCACCAGTGCAACTTTTTCAGAAGTGTTGACCTACAAATAACAAAATAAAATACTTGGTGTGGTTTGCAGGAGGTTTATCTACATCTTTATTCTTACTCCGGCTCACCTTCAGAGAGGTGCCACATGAGGGGTGGTGGGATAGGGATGGACAAGCACCGTTGCTGTGATGAACGGACTGCGGGGCTGTCCAATTTATTGTCCTGTCTCCAAGAAGGGCCAGGCACCAGGAGTAGCATCTCGGGGATGTGTAAAAAATGGTACGGGTATGCCGGTGTTCTGCCCTGGTGCATCTTTGCAGCAGCTGCTATGTTAGGTTTCCTACAACAGTTATTCAGGAGAATGTGTGATTGTGTTTGCTGGTCATGTGGTGGGCCTACCTTCCATGAATTTAGTGTATTTTGGAGCCAGTTTATACTTCCGCGCTGCACTGTGGCAGCGAGTCCACTGTCTGTTATGTCTGCTGTCCACAAAATGCTTCTTGTTTTTCTTAAGACATGACCATTCCAGTACTCATTTGTGTTTCCAGGAAAAATAAGACTAATCTTCCAAACACACTTTTTTTTAATATTGCTCATGACCTTTTATGCCTTTCATCTGTCCTTGTCCTTCTCCCATGGTGGGGAGGTGTTTGCCTTAAGTTGTCCATAGCGAAGCTCTTCTAGACCTCCAATTGTCCTTGCCACCCTTCTCTGGGGGTCCAAGTACGACATTATCCTTTTTGAGATGGATTAAGGAGAAATTTGTTTCAATTTGAAGGTGCATAAGATGTGGTGCCGTCCTGTTTTCTGTCTTATTCTTTTCTGAATAACAGCTAGTACATTCTTAACATTTTTGCATCTCTTGAGCTGAGGCTTTTTGAGAGCTCCACAGTGACCTCAAAGTCTTTGAGATTTGGCAGCTGATTTGTACCCAGCTGCTCCCTGTCAATAGCTGGAGTTACATTTTGATCATCTGTAAATACTTTTCATTTTTTAATACTACATTTTATACTCTATTTTTATCACCCAGTATCACCAATAAGCAGCAGCCAGGGTAGGGTTCACATTTTAGGGGTTGTTAATAAACAGCAGCTCAGGCCACCACCCAGAAACTAACCAGTACGATGCTGAGTGAGCTAATCTTTCTAACTTACAAGTGATAAATGAAATGGTTTAACAGCCAGTACATCCTGTAAAGGAGAAGAAAGGGAAAAGAAAGAGAATGGGAGAACAGAACAGT